CTGACAGCCATGCAACATTTTATGAGTTTTCTTGCCCAATAAATGCAGGCAGATGTTGTAGGATTTGGAACCTTACAAGGCACTGGAGTATAGCTGGTGGGAGGTAGTTTTGATGAGTGCTTAACCTCTCACTAAAAAAGTAGCAGCTTGGAGAAGGCAGTATTTACTGCAGGAAACATTAGCTTGTCAGAGAGCTTAAAGCACTGCAAAGAACCTTTCTGAATGACCATGCAAGTCTTCAGCCAGATGTTCTTCACAGCACAGAGTAATGCACGCTCTGCTGGGAGTTAGAATGAGGCCTTTCCTTGCATCACTCACAGTCAACATTGTTTCCTGTAGGAAAACAGCTTGCTGATGTAAGAATACACAAGCCATTATGTGCAAGCTTGTAAAATACCATGCGATTCAGCTGAACCCTGTAGGCATTTATTTTATTAGTGCAAAGTGATCAAATAATCCTTTGAGAGAACTCTCCCTGGAACCACTGTGCAATTCATCTACAAGTTAGAGGAAACGCTTGGATCTAAGCTTCATTGTTCCATTTCGAGCGTATTCAGAAGTGCCCATGGTAGCCAGCCTGCAAACACCCTCATCTTAGTCCGATGTTCCATCCGTAGAGTGTTCATGGGCTCACAATTGCTGCTGGCTACACGGAGAGCTGTGATAAATGCCCTGCTCTCCACCTGTATTGAATGTGGCTATCTCCTCCTCTGATTGTTGAGTATTTCATTGAATATTGGAAGTGCAAACCATCTATTCTTCTAAATATAGCAGTAATAAATATAAATAATATAGATAATAATAATATAAATATAGTAATAAATATAAATAATAAATATAAATATTGAGCAGTATAGGAGACTTGGAGAACACCTGCCTGGCGTCAGGGCCCCTCTGACCTGTGAAATGTGAGGACACAAACCTGATTTTCAAAGCTTGCTGTGGTGGTGATCTGAACTTACACCACAGGCCCATCATGTCTCTATAATCATAATTCTCCGAGGCACCAGTATTACTATGTTGTCCTGTGTATTTATAAACTGAAAGAAAACTTTTTTAGCCAAGCCAGAGCTTAGTTCTGAAGGTACTGACAATTAACAATGAATATTCCCTTATTTTCTTTACTTGCTCTTACCTGGAAAAGATAATAAATGCAGCCTGTTATTGCAGTGACTGAAAGAGAGAAAGGGAGAAACTAAGAGGAAGGAGAGGCTGGCATGAAAGTTTTTGCAAGAGCACAGTCCAGATCACACATCATTGAAATGATCATTGACCATGGCCTAGATTTTCAAATACTTGAATTAAAAAGGGAGTGAGGGGGAAATAGCAAATGAAATCCATCTGTATGAGAACAGGAATATACCATCAATCAGCTAACAAAGAGCTTCTCTATACATGTTGCTCTTGGACACTCATATAGAGAAGGGCCACATCTACTTATCAAGGAAAAGTCACGGCACTGAATATGTACAGCATGTGCACGCCTTTTATGCGGTGTCTTTTCATGCAAGTGTGTTTGTGATATACATACTTTACAGGAACATTTACAGTACCATACATCTGAAGAGCTATTCTACTCTAGAGTCCAGATTGTTTTATTACCAGCTAAATGTTCTTTAAGCTACCTGTGAATGAGGGCATTGTGACATTTAGCAACTGGTTTGATTGAACACAGATGTGAACCATATTCCATATGGAGAAGATCCAAAGGGGAGAGATCCTGGGCTTGTTTCTGATTTGCAAATAGGAGTTTGAATGCAATTACTTGACATTGAGCTACTAAGATAGACGGAAGCAAATCGCTTGCTTGCACATCTGCAGTGTTGCAAATGTAAAATCAGCTGCAGTTTGAGACAGTGCACAGTCTTCAGGGGTCAGGAAAAAAAGACAATATATGTGAAAGCAAAAGTCCTGTGGAAATGGGCAGTATCCACTCAGAAATGGGAGGGGGACAGGCATTCATGTACATTGCTTACCGAGAGACTTCCTAGGCATGCCCATTCCACATAAGCATCGCTTTCTGTCATTCTAGTCTATCTCTGAAAAAAATAGTTACGTAGGGAGTAGGGCTAAATTGATAATGCCAGTGTGCAAGTCTGTTGATAATTCTCCAGTTTCTTAAGTGTAAAATTTACTGATGCAAAACTAAAATTGCACATAGCACAATTCATTTCATTACAGAAAAGCTTATTTCCTATCAACAACTTGGGGAGGAAAAGCAAACATTTGAGGCCAGTTCTGGTATTTGTTCTGAACTGCTGGATTCTACAAGGCTGCTCACAGAAACTATACCTATTAGGCCTCATTCTCTGCTCATGTGGAGAGAGGGTTTGTCCTCATCTTCATTGCCTCTGGTGCTTCTTTGTTTCCCTTCCGTTTGAGCTGATTGTGTCTCATTGAAAATGTGGTCTCTCCAGTCTAGTCTGTAAAGTGGACCAGGGACTGAGCTGCAGTAGTCCCTGTGGTATGACTCTAATCCCCAAGACAAAGACTGATGTTGAAATGAAGTGTTTCTGAACCCGTCTCTTCAAGCACTTTGTTTTCCATGCAGATAATTGATTTGGTTTTTTCTCCCAGCTTTTCATCCTTGTTCAGCTGCAGAGAAATTCCAAATTTTTACTAGCTTTGGTTGTTTGGTTGTAACTATTCTGCTATAACAATACTGAGCTGCCGAGATACACTGAACTGAGCAGCTCTCGAGGTATACCGTGGGGAGGGCTTGCGTTCTCTGAATGTGAAGCTGTAGGGACAGAAAGAAAGGGTTGTGTTTTATCTCAGTGTAGACAAACTAAGCTCTATGATACTCCTTGCTTGGTCAGGATGCGACAACAGGGTCCAGAAGAATCCGAGTTGTCAAAAGGCTGTTTGCAGGCCTGTTGAACTTCAGGTTATAGGAAATACAAGTCTTAAGCATTTTCACAAGTATTTAAATACACAGGTGAAAAATTAGGAAGTTTAGTCTCTGTCTCTTGCGCAGTCCTTCCTTTTGAAAATCCCCTGGGCAGAGGGAGATGGACTGCAGCAGCCTGTAGGGACACCTGAACTTGGACTTGGGGAGCTTAGCTAAAATGGCGAAAATATATTCTACAAAATGACGGTGCAAAAGCCATTATAGGGTCTAGTCATAATGTACTGTGGGAAGCTACGGAGCACCCCTGCGTTTCTACCCTCTCCTCCCTGCTCACATACGTGCCCTGTGTGTGCGTGGACACTCTTGCTTTGCATAGTTTATGCAGAGTTCAGAGAAAGTTCATTCCAGTTGTGCAGATCTCTCCTTTTTATAATTCTCTCTGTTTGGAAACCAGGAAGCTGTGGTATCATGTGCAGGTAGCACAGCAATAAACATGTTCTCATCACAATTTACACATAAAGCGTGAGTCCCTTGAGGTAACTCATCCCTCTCTTGACAGCTTTAATAAAGGATGATGGATTGTTTCTAAATGACAGTTTAGGAAGATCAAAAATTCCCCCTTGTATTGTTTTGAGCTCTGGTGTACAAGAGCTGTTTCGTGTTCTGTGAAAGTTGTTTTTGCCTTTAAGCGCTGGGGCTCTATTACTCCCCTTCACAGTGGTGAGAAATGCCTGGTTACCACAGGAATATCTTCATCCTGCTGCATACTTGTGACTTCTGGAAAAACTCTGCAGAAAAGCAAAGCCTCGCATGGATGGGAGGTGGGGAAGTGCCAATAGCTGAATGTATTGCCCTCTTTGGGATGCTGCTCTGGCTGGTCTCCCCATATGCATTGTGGGGAGGAGGGGGAGGAGTTGGACAGTGATGCGCCCAGATTTGCCTTCAAGAGGTGAATGCCAGGAGGAGGCACCACCTGAACCCACCTGCACTGGCTCGGCTCCCCAGCCAGCATGTGAAGGGGGCCTGGGGAGATCCACGCTTCCCGGTACCCTGGCAATCCCTGCACTGTCTTCTCCCCGCCTCTGCCCTTTTCTTTTTAAAGACTGCATGCGACAGCAAATTAGTTCTGGAGGAGTGAGTCCTCTCTCTTGTTACTTTTTGTCTTGAGATTTATTTCTCAGTGCATGTGCTTTGTAGTTGCACTTGGCAGAGTGGAGTTTGTTCAGCTGTCCATTCCCCAGCTAATCTGGTGTCTTAAAATAAAGACAAGCAAGTGGATCTTTGGGGAAAGGTTGCCACATGAAGATGTGCAGAGTCATATGGTTAAAAACAGCACTGCTAAAAATCATTCACATGGTAAGAAACTGGGTAAGAAAAAAAAGCTGAGTGCCTGGTTAGGGCTTGGTCTGATGGTACATCAAGGTGACAAGATGAAGGCCAGACAAGAGCCCACTATGGCCGCACAGCACCAAAATCAAACCTCTTTGCCTGTGGAAGCAGTGGGTCTGAGTCCTGTTTGTAGCCTGCTGCCTTCCCTTAGGATGGAATAGGCATAGTCCAGCCTTTGCCTCCTGTATATGAATACCCTTGGAGCAAGCACTGTTGCAAAACACTGGAAGAACATTTTTAATATAGATTCTCAGCAAACTGCACAAACTCAAGAGGAAGTTCTCCACCTATGTGAAATGGAAAATTTTGAAATAGAAAACAGCATAGACTAGAGTTAAAGCAAGGCTAGAATTTGCCAGGGGTGCAGGTGAGGATCCAGAGGATGGGAAGCTTTCAGCTCTTCTACCACTTGCCTGATGGGAGGCAAAGGAGGACTGTTCCTGTAGGTTTATTTTCTGAACTTTTACTTCTCCACCCATAAAATCTTTACTGTAATGCTTCTAGCAGTTAGAGAGGACTGGAGGGCATCAGCCGCTTCATTTGGGACAGAACTCACCTGTCCACCCTTACCTTTTCTCTTCATAACATACCAAGATGAAGCAATGTTTTTGCTCCCTACTGTCCTATATTTCTTAAGATTTGTGAGCTACTTTTTTCTAGTAACCCAGTACTTTACTTCCTGTTGGAAATTGTTTGTATTAATATATCCTGTTACTTTCATTGCTGGTGTGTTTTATGACTATGATATTCTTTCCCTTAGGCACAACAGGGATTTACCAGGGAGCAAATGGCCTGACAAATTCTGCAGGATTTAGTGCTGTGCATCAGGTATGGTTCAGCATTTATTATTCGGAACCTTATCACTTATTTTAAATGGTTGGAAGATAGGTAGATCGGAGAGGTTATTATGATGTTTACATATATTTAAGGAAGGTACTGCTGTGTATTTTGCCCAACACCTTTCTGCCTCTACTCCTGTGGCCGGTCCATTTGCTGGACTTATAGGTATCCTGATTAGTTTTAAGATGGGTGTATCAATACACCCACTTGCACATACTGCAGTTCTTTCAGGAGGAGGATGCAGTGCTGCTGTAGCAGTGCCAAGAGTTTCATCATTCCTCTGCCATCTTACAACTTCCAGATATGTTTTCCATCCTCTACAGAGAGCTCTGCTTCTAGGATCCTGACATCTGTTGTCTTGGCACCGTGTAATAAATATGGACATTTTGAAAGAGACGTTGGCAGGCCTGATGAATATTGAGCCATCTGAGCTGTCAGTGTGCTTCCTTCTTTGAGAGTACACCTGTCTGTGGGCTTCATGCTTCAGATACCTTGATAAATGTGTGTGTATAAATAAACAGCTTGCATACATACACAGGACAGATGTTTTTCAGTAGCAAATGGCTCTTCTTGGTTTGGCCAAACAAATGAGTACGCTGTCCCAGCAAATGTATTTTGGTTGGCCAGTAATTTCAATTCCTTGTTTGTAAGGTGATTGTTGACTCGTATTTTTAATGACAGCAGTGGGCAATTTCTTTATTACTTCAGTTTTTGGCTAAAGCATCAGCATTTGCCAATGGAAGTGCATTTGATAGGAGTATGGAGGTTACCTAAAAAGGAGGAAAATGATTGGGCTTTTTTTTATTGTTTAAAAGAAAACACTGAAATTCTCTCATTTCTTTAATTGTTCTTATGACAACTTGAGTCTTTGTTCTTGAGAGTTGATGAAATAGCTGTGTCACTTGCACCTCATATTTTTAGTTCATTTTTCTGTAGGCCGGGAAGATCACTCAGGCATTTAGTTGTCGCTGAGATAGTTGGACAATCTCAACTATGAATATTTCTGCAAAACAATTGCTATATTCTTTTTCTTCAATTTTGTAACCTGTTCTAACAGCTGATCCTGCTGATCACAGGGAAATACAGCCTGTTTTCCTCCTTCCCTCACCAGATGATTCGGTTCTAATTTCTTAGGTATCTTGTTATTTACAGAGACTATGTCTTCCATCATGGCCCTTTTCAAAAAGCCACCCTACTTCACTCCTGTATGAAATTGTTAGACTCTGTAATACAAAATGGGTTAGTGCTGATAACTAAAATCCTATAGAAAAAGCAAAACTTGACTGATTTCTGACTCTTGGTGGTTAGCTGATCCTAGTAAAGTAGGAGTATATTTAGGAGAAGGAGAAATGTAATTTCATAAGTAAATGAACCATGGTTCTTCAGTGAAATATCCCCGAACCATGACTTGCTGCATGCAAGGATAACACTGCCTTTGTGGTGCCTTACTCATGTATAAGATAAAACTAGGTACACAGAATTTAGACGTTGCTTTTTTTCCTCAAAGGAATATTCAGCATATCCAAGCTTTCCTCAAAGCCAGTACTCACAGTATTACAGCTCCTCCTACAACTCTCCGTATGTGTCTGCAAACAGCATCAGCCCCTCAGCCATCCCAACGTCCACGTACTCTCTGCAGGAGTCTTCTCACAATATCACCAGTCAGAGCACAGAATCACTGTCTGGTAGGTGCATCTCTTCTGGTCACAGTTTGGCAGTCTCGGCCGTCTGTAGACATAAACATTATAACCTCATTGTTGGAATTTTTTTTAAATATACACATTTACATGGATAATCTGATTTCTTAGCATTTAACAGTTCTGCTTACACTATGCAGCACTGGGTTTGGGGAGGAGTTTAGAACATCCAAAATCTTCAAAACCTTTCTATTGTTTTCATGAGTACGTGAGGTTTGATCTCCTCTACAGGTAGTACAGAAAGACAAAACAGTTGGATGCAAACCCCAGGTCAGTACTGATGGCTAACGTGGGTAGCAGCAAGTTTGAAACAAACAGTCATGATCTGAAAAAGCCCGTTTCCTGATTTTCTGATGACTTCTCTGTCAAGGTTTATAGTCACCTCTTACAAAATGTACTAAATGCATTCATAAATAAGTACATCAAGAGAAGGAGAATGTGCCTCTTTCAAAAATCAGCACAAACTGTTTTTCTAAGTTGAAGGTTCAAGATGAACTCCATGCAAAAAAAAGCTTCCAAATTTATGACCTCTCTTTGAGTGCTTAATTTTTAAAGTCTCAAAGCTTAAATGGTTTACAGAATTACTGACGGATTACGATCCTCCAGTGTTCTGTTCAAGTACAATCTTCAGCTATCACTTCTCTGTTAAAGTTTTCGTTGGCATGCAGTAACATTTATATAAAACGCCACATAATTTGTGGATGATCACAGTATACGCCCATTGTAGGTCTGCTGACTTATGAAACAAATCTGAACATCTGTGGTTGCTCTAAAAGAAAAATAAACTAATATTGGTTTTTTAAAAGAAGTGATTACAGATTGCTCTAAAAGCAGTCGCAGGATTTTCTGTTCCTTAGATCGTATCGCAGCCTTTTTGAGCATGGGTGATTTCAAAAAAGCTTGTTAGGCACAATCCAAGCTTCTCTGAAGAAGAAGAATATGGTTATTCTAGGAAGCTGGAGAGCCCACAACTTAGGAAGGTGAAAAGAAAAATATGTTTGAGAAGGATTTGTAATGTAAGGTAAGTGAAATCCGGACAGGTTTATGAAACTCAAGCCAATCAAAACATGTACTTTTACAAGGGAAGTTCGCCTTTGACTGTCTCTTCTCAGTTCTAAAATACTATAATCTGTGAAATGGAATATGGCTAAACAGGCTAGTTCTGTGTTTTTAAATAGAAGTTGATGTTGAAAGTATATTTTTCATCATGAGCATTCATCAAATTAAAAAAAAAAAGAAAAAATTCAGAAGCTGAATTGGTCTTGGTTTCCTTTTCCATTGCCTTTCTAATTTCTCTTTTGAAAAGCAGCTGGGGAGTAAAAGTCAAAAAGCTATTTTTTTCAGTGAAAAATAAGATAAGGTTTTTGAAGTGTCACACCCATTTAAAAAAGTTATATATACAGTCTTGGTGATTTTTGAAATTGTTTTAACAGATCTTAGGAATTAGAAGTTATTTTTCTAACAATATTAACTGTTGACATGAAAAGAGTAAGACTTTCTGATGGTGTTTTCACAAACTTTCCAGTGCTTTACATTAGAAGGTTTCATGCTTTAATTATAATCATATACTGCAAAATTTAAGTTTATAATGAAATTCCTTTTATCATGATAGGGGAATATTCAACAACAGCAGCAAAAGATATAGAAACAGACAGACATCACAGAGGGTCAGAGAGCAAGGTACGAGCCCGGTCAAAAAGAAGCAACGATCCTTCTCCTTCTGCTGACAGTGAGATTGAGGTAATAATAACTTTAATTTATATTCCTTTAGCAAGTCCAGCAATGATAAATAGTTGCATCTATTAGCAAATCCCACCATCAGCAATAGTGGGTTGTGAGAGCCAGAATAAAATCAGTAAATATAACTGGAGCCTACAGAAATGGATAGGTAAAGTAATTGCTCAATTTCTGTATTATCAGCATCGTTTTTTTCCCCTCCTTTGGGCTTTCTAAAGGTCTGCTGGTTTGTTCCCCTGACTTGACATGCAACAGAGGATTTCTGTGGCTGTTAGGGGAGCAGACTCTCAGGATGGCCAGCACACACATAGTTCCAAAATTCCTGATGTTTCATTTTGCCTGCTTTCACAAAGCATCTACAGTCAGTGCTCCAAAGGGGCTTGAGAGCTTAAAAAGCTGTAGTCCAACAGGACATATTTCCTGACTGAACGAATTCTTGCAATTGCTTGATATGTAACTATATTTCTTTTTTTTTCCACCCCGTCTGTCATCACAGCGTGTGTTTGTGTGGGATTTGGATGAGACGATAATTATTTTTCACTCCTTACTCACGGGAACCTTTGCATCCAGATATGGGAAGGTAAAATCTAATTTTTTTAGCATTACTGCTTGTCCAGCCAAATTGCATCGGGAACTGTGGGGGCAGCTAATGAGACAGCTTTTCAAACAGATGCTGCTGATTTTATTCAGACACATTTGTATAAATATATCCTGTGGTATTTCCTTCTAACATGTGAAAATTTAATTTACCTCCCTTTCATGTTGCAAGTAGCCCCTTGTTTTTCAAAAGCTTGTATTGTTCAGCTGCTCCTAGATAGGACTTCAGGATGTTCTTTCTGTCTGTCTCCCGCAAGAAAGAGTCTGTCAAGCAGCCAGACAGCATTAACTCTAGCCTCAATGAGGTAACACAATTTTTCTCTTAGACCAGTGTTTTCTTACGAATCTCAGACAACTTTTTAAGAGATATTTTGTGTTGGTCGATCTAGGTTGCATGAATACTAGCTCTTATTCCCACATGGCTACTGAAGCTTCCATTTTTAAGGGGTTTTAGGAACCATAGCTTTAGCTATCTGTGCCTTAGATACTCCCTTTGAACTGCAGGCAGTTCTAGTTTTTGGTAATTTTCTCTGTGGCTGAACAGACTGAACTTGGCTGCGAAGGAGAAAATGCTGGCTCTTGGATTTAGCACCATGTGCTTCAATTTGTTCCTAAGGCAGCTTTTTATGATAAACACTTAAGTCACTTTGAATTACAGAATGTCAAACACTTTTAAATGGGTAGGAAAAAAGACAATATCATTACCTAATTAAAGGTGGATGACCTAGTTGGCAGCTGTTTCCACACATGGCTTTGAACAGTCAGCTTCATCAGGAGACTGGAAAATAATGCTGCTTCTCTGTAGAAGGCAGAAATATGATTTGACATCATTTCATGGCTTTACCAGCTGTACTTGTTTTACGATGGTTATAACAAGCTGAATGTGTAATTAGTAAGATAGATTTATTGTTCGCTGTTAGATGTGCACAGTTGTAAAGGATATAAAAATGGTGTTTGTGGTGTGGAAGTCTACTGCAGCACTTGGAATGCTGCTAACACTTCTAACGGCACCCTCTGAAAACCAAGCACATGTTTCCAAGCAGAGATTTATTCAGACCCATGTTGTACAAGGTAATTGAAGCGGTTACTTTGCCCAGGGAATGTAATGAAGGAGGCAGTCTGAGGTGTACATGTGTAAGCTCAAACCTACTGCCTGCAAAAAGCAGAAAGAGTTAGGCAAGATCAGGAAACATAAACTTAGGCTGTGTAGATCTGCACCATGGTCATGCTTAGCATTGAGCAGAGGCAGCAGTGTGCGTGTGGAGAATTCCCTTAATGGGCTGACTTTGTCGTAGCATAAAACCTCTGAAGCAGATGCCTTCATTTGCTGCCTCCTGCACAAGTTTAGAGTGTGAGGGGTTGGGATCTGCTGCGTAGGGGCAGATGGTGATGGACCAAGGGGTCGACACATGGAGGTGAGAAGTCCTGCCACCACAGTGTCTGTGAGCTCTTGCTGATGGGCAGCCACAAAGGCAGAAGCTGCCAGCTCTAGCGCAGCTGGGGTGGGGATGAAGTGGGGTCAGGGAGTAGAGGCAGGAAGGGTTTATCAAAAGTGCTCACCTGTGACTGAACTGTTTCTGCTGGCTGCGAGGGCAGAGTTAGGTCAAGACAGGGCACCAGCCTGCAAAAGGGGCTAGAGAGAGAGGAGAACGGGAAGAAGGAAATTCAGGGGATTGTCTGCTTTGGAAGGCCCATAAAGGTGCAAAATGACAAACTTCTCTTGGCTGTTTTTTTTACACAAGTGTAAAGACTGATACAAACAGGATTTTTTCTTTTTGAATGAGTGAATCACCTTTTCCTATTAAGTTACAAAAGGGCTATTAAGAAACTTCCCTAGATGGATTTTTTTCATATTCTTCATTTGTTTCATCAGTATTAAATTTCTCAGGGCTTTCCTATAAGGCAAATAGTTGTGTTATAAAAGTATTACAGGCTAATGGCTTGATCCAAAGACAACCAGAGGCTTTGGTAGGCTTTGGAACAAACCTGAAACCAAGAGGGAAATACAGCACACTCAGACAGGCTTCCTGGGAACCATTAAATAGTAACACAATTCAGAAATGTTCAAGAGAGCTGAACTATCAAGTACAAGTGAAGCAGTTGAGCCAGAGGTTAATAGAGTTTCAGAATCTCTTACTTGAATAATATAGAAAGTGTTAATCTCAAAGTAAATTAAGTATCAAGGCCTAAAACTCTTATTTTTGTCCATAACTGATCATAAAAGATTCATGTGCCTGTAATTAGACACGCACATGCTTTGAATTAAATCTTGCACATGGAGGTCTTGGTTCTGTGTGTCTTCCTGCAGAAGTTTCCTTCATCTTCACCGTTTCCCTGGTCAACATTAATGTCCCAGCATCATCCTGTCTGTTGCACTGGTAGAGCTGCTGTGCAGCCACTCAAAGAATTAATCTATAAAGTTGATCAGGCTAAAGATTTACTCTACTTTCTGGGTGATTTTTCTGGGAAGAGGGGAGGAAGAACACCAACCATAGCTTCAGAGATTTACATCTATACTCCCGTGTTCTTTAGCTACAAAATGTCAAATGGTTCTGCCCCTTCCTTAGTGATGGCAGCAATAGGGAGCTGTCCAAAAAAAAATCTCATTTTGGAAAAAAAAAAAATAAAAAGAGGGAACAATTCACAAAAAGCTTTATCAATTGCGGTTGTATTATTAATCATTAATGCTTCAATGTATGTTTGTGATTCCATGTGAAAATTCTCCTTGTTTGGTTTCTGAGGGAAACCTCTGTCATCCTTGTCATAGATCTGGGCTTGTCAGAACATGGACAGTTCATCTCATTGTTTAGAAAACAGTTTGCTTGCGGCATTACTACAACTTAAAACACAAAATGCACTCAAGGTTGAAGCATGAATGAATAGCTCAGCCTAGGTTGCCCCTGGGTTTTGTCCCCTCTGCCCAAACTCTTTGCTCTAGCCCATGAGTTACACAGTCACCAGATATGTGGTCTTAATGTCTTTCCCATACGGTCACTGCACTATAACCTTTATAGTGGCAGCCAGTGGCCTGCAAATTCACAGCTCCTTTTGCTTTCTCAAAGCCCGCAGCTGAATGGCCGCGTACCTGCGCAAACACATGGAGTCACGGTCTAAGTGATCAGGGCAGGAAAGCTGTCAAACCCAAGGAAATCTGTCCACTCCTTCGTTTCTCAGCAGGAGGCCTCTGACAAGAAAGAGCAAAAAAAGAAAAAAATTCCATAGGCAGTTAACCCTGGATATTATGTTCAGGAGGGTTTAGAAACCTGTTCTGCAGGCTTCTGATCACTCCGTGGGTGCAGATACTTACCATGTGACTAAGAGACCACGACAGATGTAGACCATCATTATAGCTTAATGTACTGTCCACCCAGCCCTTTTAATCCCTTCAGGCATGTGTAATAGTGCTCCCATTCAACAGACGAATAGTGGCAGTGTTTGCTATGTCTGCAAAGATCTGCCCACCACATCACCAACCAAACATAATGAGAAAAATGGGTCAAGATCCATAGCAGTGCTGCTGGAGTTTCACAGGAGTTGGGTAAAAGTCAAGGGGCTTTGGCCATTTGTTTGAAGCAGCTAGATACAATACAGGAAGACTTTTGGTGATATTAATTCAGACAAAAAGAGATTGTATGCACTCCCATGGAAAAAAAAAACCATGAGTCTATTCCCCTTTCCCTGACTGAGAAGTTTGCAAGCTTGTTCCACAGTCTGTGTTGTCAAAGCATTAAAAAAAAAAAAAAATTCTGCATCTCTTTTGGTCTGAGAAATTTTAAGTATTGCATTGCAGATTCATTCTTACACTTTTGAAAGACTAGGATTAAGAAGAAATGGGGACTAGTTGTGTTTTCTCTAGCTGCTATCTTTTGGACAAAGTAGCTAAAGTTGCTGCTTGGCCCAGTTGAGGACAAGGCACAAACATGATTTTCTAGCATTTCAAGCAAACGGCATAGCTGCTGTATGTTGTCTGTCTTTGAACTGGACTGTCTTGTTCTTGTGATGTCATGGATCTAAGAAACTTTATTCCACAAAAGTTTAACTAGCAGCTTACAAAAAAGTTTTCCTTTAAGTGAATGATAATTTTCTATTAAAAAAGAAAAACCAAGTCATTGAAAAATTTCTGCTTGGATCTGCTCGAGATCTGCTTGTAAAACCTTAGGTTTGATTTTTTTTTTTTAATTCTTGCTTTCCTTGAACACTTCAAGTAGCTTGTGCTTTTTCCTGCTTTATTCTCTCGCAGGACCCTAAAGCCAGGACCCGACTGAAACACCACAGGGATTTAATCAACTCTGATGGTGATTCATGCTTCTGACGGCCGAATCTGTCCTTTACTACTTTACAAACTGAGAAGGAATAAAACCCCATTTTATTGCTCGGCTGTTAAAAACTATTTGTAGAAGTTGCTAAGGTTCAAATCAAAAGCACCCTCCCTTGAGAACTATTAGTTAATTCTAAGTGCCATGGCATCGCTTTTTTTCTTCTCTTGCTTGAGATGTGGCCTTATATCACTACTGCTGTTCAAACATCTGAGAGTTTTCCATTCCTTTGACAAACATGAGCCAAAGTGCTTAAGGACATCTGTTTATTTTATTTCTTTAATGAGAAAACCTTCCAATTTCTTACTGGCTCAGCTGTGTTTATTTACATTTTGTTAGTCATATGTGTGGGGCACCTTGGGACGTTAAAAACCTGCAGAGGCCTATGCTGAGGGCTGCTAGCAGGCATCCTGGTCAGAAAGGCAGAATAAGCCCTTCCTAAGGAAAACACAGTCTTTGGAACTCCATAAAATAGATTTTCAAAACAAATAGAGCCTAATTCACTCAGTAGATCATGGATTAAGTCAAGATGAATACAATTTGGAAAGGATTTTCTGAGGAAGTTGGAGATTTTTTTTACCCACTGGAGGCTAAACCTTGTGTTCAATGCCTTTTTAAGTTAAATTAAAAAAGCATTCAATCACTGCAGGTAATAAAAAAGTCTGTT